AGAATCAGGATCAAAAACTCAGTCGACTGATCTGTATTTCGAAATTTTTAGCTGATTTCAGTTTTGGGTGAAAATCTTGATGATTTTTCAACGTGAAAATTCGAAAAAAACTAAAGTACTCGAATAGAATAGGGATACACATCAGTCGACTCATTTTTTCATCCTGATTTCGAATATGATATTTTTATTGCATAAAAGTTGAGTTCTGGTGGAGAAAATTGAGAATTACGAATTACATATAAACGAGCAAAAATAATTTGGGATCCAAAGGGTTAACGCGTTATTAACGCAACAAAAAAACTTCATCGAAAGGGATTATCAAAAGAGTGAATAAAATAAATAATAACATTCTGATTAAGTGACATCATAGATAGTTTGACACTTATTATGGAACTACAAAAAAATTTTCTTTCCATTTGTAATTGCTAGTACCTAGAATAAAACATGAACACTCCACTTCTGGAGCAGTTATCCATTTTGTATTACTCGATGCCTGTCTTTTCAGATGGTAGTTATTTTTCCTTTATGAAAAAACCGTAGAGATTTAAAATACACCAAACAAGAAAAAAAGATGCATAAAACGAATTATTGTTTATATTCAATTTGTTTATCTTTTGGCCATTCAACTAAATATTCCAATGGTAATTTACATTCTTCTTTTGCTTTCAATAACAATTTCCATTCCACATTATTATCATCATTTAATATAGTTGATATTGATGCTGTTGAATGTTCTTTTAATTTACTGATATCTTGTGGAAGTAGTAGTTTTACTTTAATTTTCTCATCCGATGATAATGGTAAATGATCATAGACATAGATACAAACATCAATTGTTTTTAAATTTTTTATTTTTGTTTCATGTTTAATATATTCATGATTGACTTTGGAGATGAGTCCTTGGATTTCATTCATTTTGCGTACAGGTTTGTATTCACATTTCACATTAGAATCAATACCTAAATATAGATCGAATTTTTCATCAATCGAGACATTTTCAATTCGACTATGAGTAATGAAATCATTATCCATAAAGACATTTATCGGACCGGCTAATAATTGTTTATCGGATGTATTGGTGGTTGTAGCTTTCAAGTAGACATACGAAGATAGTTTTGGTACAATTGTGTAGGTAAATTTGGATTCTAATTGCAGAACACCAATGGTTACTTTATGCGGTTTTCCATCAGATTCGATGGTAGCTGAACGTGGTATGCTAAAACTTGTTGAACTTAAACCTGTTTCAGCTTTGGATACGAGTACTCCAACATCATCCGTATTTTCATCAATTGCAAACATCGATTCAGAAGCCTTTGAATTATTACCCAAAGATAGTTTTGGTATCAATGTTGCTGATCTTCTATGATAAAATGCAGCGGATTGTAAAGACATAGATGCAGCCTTACATTCCAATGAACTCAAACGATCGTAATCTACTGATGACGAACGATAATTAGGTCGTTTATAATCTATTTTCAACGTTGATAATTTTGGTGGTGTTCCGCTCAAGGATGGTGTAGCTGTTGACAAGGAGAATTGTGTATTAAGCCAATTTTCGTTCGACTGATTCGTAATGATTCCATAGTACGTAAGTTGTGTTTGTTCCAATTTACTTTCACTTATCACTCGTACATCGTAACTGGCTTTCCATGAACAATTTAGAATGAGATAGGAGATTTCTATATTAACCACACATTTGTTATCTTGCACGTTCAATAGAATTGTGACCTCACGATGTTCATTCCCTACTGTTGACGATAATGTGGAGCCATACGTGTTTAAATCTTTCATCAAGGTCTCACGATGTTCATTTAATGATTTCACTTTGTGTTCTTCAATCATTTTATTCTCATCGAATGTTTTCAATTTTTGATAATAAAAATCTAAAAATTGTTCCGTCTGTTGAAGAGAATTATCACTCTTTTCAGTATTGTTCATTAAATGTTTGGCACGACCGTCTAACCAATTGAGATTTTTATTGATACGATCTAACTCCTGTTGATGTTGTGCAATATCATTATCTAAATCTTGAACTTGCTTTTGTATTTGTTCACGTTTTGTTTCAGCTGCTGTTGTATCTGTTTGGACTTTTTCGTATCGTGTATGATAAGAAACTTCAAGAATGGTTGCTCTCCCTGTACCTCCTTTGACATGAAATGAATTTTGATCGACATAGGTTGAAAATCCATCCAGTATCAATTCATAAGTTCCATCCAGATCAAATTGTTTGGTATATGAACGTGTTATTTCGGCGCGATCATTGTACACAGTCACATATTTAATTGGGCATTCTTTATCAATGTTACAGTGGATTGTCGTTACTGTAATTGGAGTAGTGGTATCAGCGACATTGATTGTTGTCGTTTCTGATGTCATCTTAAAAAAGCTTCACGTCTAAATGAAATTTTAGCTTAGAATAATTTTTCTTTATATACATTCCTCTTTTTAACAGCGACACAGAATGAGTCAGTCACAACTATTTGACGTGTCACGGCAAATATATTTTTTTTGTTTTTCTTCTTCAATAAAAGAAACACGCTCATATTTTTCTTTCTGACAGAAACGAAAGAAAACGTAAAACCGAATGAATCATTTGCATGTCTTCTTTACAGAAAACAAAGTAATTGCACAAACTAGATGTAACTGGTACGGCGGGTAAAGGATTTTATCTGTGCTTTTGCAAAGCTTTTTTGCACACTGCACGATCAAATATGACACGCACTACACCAAACAAACACGCAAGCATCTGAACGCAGGAAAACAGAAAAAAGAAAAACGTGTTTTTTTCTCATTCAGCACTTACATATTTTACTTCGATTTATGATTCACTACTACTTATGTATCGTCATTTTATGCTTCCCTGCAAAACTACGTATCCAAAAAGATTTTGTAAGGTGCTCGTAATTCAAACTTCGAGCAAAATTTGTTTTTGACTTAATCATACATATTCTGATTCGTCTTGTCGAGCTGATCACGAATATCACCTTTTGACTTCTTTTCAACCGCATCTTCATGGAGAAAAACTCCGATTACAGAGAAGGTCGCAAAAACCCAAAAAGTTTTTATTTTCACAAAAAACACCATAACCTTTTTCACTTTAGTCGTGTAACTCTGGGGTTAATATTTTTAGATTCCTTATGTAAAGCTG